ATCACAATAACTAAAACTACATCCGCCTTCTCTTTTATAAAGACAGAAGTGATAGTTCCACAACAAACTTTACGAAATATTTCCCACATCAGACAAAAAAAGTCTGTTTGCACAGAACCTTGAGACAAGCACACCAGAATTTACATGTGATAACAAAACATTTCTCATGAAATAGCCGTGATGGGTGGCCCCAACTTCAGGATGTACAATCACACCTGCTAACTTTTTTTAACCAATCTTTCTTTGTCCCAAATGACCACCACTGGAAACAATGACAGGCAACTTGTCATCAATTTACTTTCTGAGAACAGACAGAGAGCAACACACTGTTAGCTGCCATTCATGGGGCATAAACGAGTTTGCTTTCATCAAGGGAGCAGCAGAGAGTGAGGCAGTGTGAGAAAACCAGTGGCACATAACGAAGGCGGGTTAGTAAAAGCAAAAAAAGACTAACTACAGAGTCAGAGGGAAGAAAGGGAATAAACACGGGCCAAGACTGACAACCCTGGAGGAACTCTAAAAGGGGTGAAAACACATCAGTCCAAGCAAGGCTTGCAGTGGAGTGCACACAGACTTTGTATCCATAATCAAACTAAATGCAAATAGTGGTACCTGCTTCTGTAATGAGGTCTGTTTATTAGGGCAACATTTATTAATTTCTTCATTTCCTGCTCAGTGCACGACACTTGAACTGTAACCGACTCGCATTGTCTTAATCTGTGTGTAAATTGTTGTTTGCTCGACATGCACAATTTCCTGGGGTGAACACAAACCACCTGCGCTATTAACAGCTGCAAAGTTTCTACTTTATTGCTCCCAATAAGTGGCTGAAGTTAAGACAATCCACAAAGGTCAGGGAGTGATAAATGTCATCTCATATTAGCAAGGAAAGACTGAATTGCATCCTCAAGGCACAATTTTCACCAGTAATAAAACAATAAAAGCAGGAGAAACAAAATCAATCATCTTCTGTCAAGATATTATTTGCAGTTGTAGCCTATAAAACCATGCGCAAACCTCTTCATCAACAGCCACATTAAATATGCAGCCTTTCTGTCTAAGACATCTGAAATGTCAAGCTCAAGTCTGCTTCTGTCTTCCCAGCACTGCGTCTCTGAGGCAAAGCAGGCGCCATGAATGTGGGACAACAGTAGCTGCCCAGAAAGTGGAGACAAAGACATGGAGGGAAAGCACTCACCTCATAAGGCTTTACTGTAATCACACCCTCCGGCAGCACGTCTGCTCAGCAGAGGAACAACAGGAGATGGGAGAGGGAGGCTGCATAAACACAGCTGTTTATGGGAAACTTAATTGAGCGGAGGGTGATTGACAGCCTTCGATCCAAAGCTTAAAAAAAAACAACAAAACACATCTTATTCTGTCAGCTTTGGTGGACATAAACAACAAAACATTTTTTTTAAACATAAAAAAACCCAAAAGCCTCCCCAGCTGAGACATTTTTTATGCAGTTGTTTTAATAATTGAGCTGAAGATGGAAAAGTTTGAGCCCGTGTACCGTCTAAAGATAGACACTGCGCTTTGCTTTGTGCTTTGTTGTGTTCTGCATGGCTGTGAAAGTGGATTAAACAGGCTTTAACATCAAGACGAGCTCTAATGAAACCCAATGGGGGAGTTAGCCTTTCTGTTTGGCCAGCTGACTCCTGTAAAATACCCATCACTGTCTCCTACTGCATGCTCTTGAAACAGGCTGCTGGTGCCAGAGAGCATACAGGCTAATGACCGTGTTTCTACATAGCTTTGTAAAAGTAATCAAACCTCTTCCTTTCTAATGTTTCCATTGGTTTTAGTGGGATTCTAGGTAAAAGTGTAGCATGCCTACTGGAAGTACTTTGCAAATAAACATTTTCCAAACATGTCTTTTCAACTTTGAACATATAAACTGATTATTATTATTATTTTTTTTTTTTGCCCGTTCTTCTTTTCCAAACAGCTAAAGCTAAGTCAAATTGCATTCTGAATATCTGTAAGCATTAATTTCCAAGCCTCAGATTCCCAGTGGCTCAGGAGACAGGGGTCCTTCATGTAACCAGTGGGTTGCCAGTTCAAAATGCTCATCTCAGTCAGTTCGTTGTTGTGTCCTTGAGCAGGACACTTCACCCGCTTTGCTTTCTGGTGGTGGACAGAGGGTTTGGTTGTGTCGATTAAATGGCAGCCTGCCCAAGGGCATCTGTGGCTACAACATAGCTTACCGCCATCCCACGTGAATGTGTGTATGTAGTTTAAACCCCTTTGTCGTCCTTGGATTTAATAAAACATTGTACTTTTGACTGCACGTTTATTGTCATTGCCCTGTTGTAGGGTGAACCTTTACTCCCTGTCTCAAGTCTTTTGAACCTCAAGGCGATTTTCCTCCTGTTTACCCATCTTGTATTCAATGCTGACAAGCTGACATGTATCTAAATTGAAAAATGCCAAGAGATTGAACTTGCTGTCACCATGTTTCACCGTGGAGATAGTACATTCAAGCTGTTGTCGTAGT